TTTTTTGAGACGGAGTTTCACTCATGTTACCCAGGCTGGAGTGCAATGGCGCGATCTCGGCTCACCGCAACCTCCGCCTCCTGGGTTCAGGCAATTCTCCTGCCTCAGCCTCCTGAGTAGCTGGGATTACAGGCACGCACCACCATGCCCAGCTAATTTTTTTTTTTGTATTTTTAGTAGAGACGGGGTTTCACCATGTTGACCAGGATGGCCTCGATCTCTTGACCTCGTGATCCACCCGCCTCGGCCTCCCAAAGTGCTGGGATTACAGGCGTGAGCCACCGCGCCCGGCTCGGATGTCCTTTCTGCATCTCGACGGAACTCATCCCTAAGCTTGGAGCATTTCACTTGCTCTTCCCTTTGTTTGGAAACATCTCTGCCCGATACTCTCCCTGACCACAGCCCCAAGGGAACCCTGCCCTTCCCCACTCCCTGTCCTCTAACCCTATTCCCTATGGCACCACCTCACCATGGCGCAGCCTGAGCTTCCAACTGCAGCAGGCTCTTTCTGCACATCGCTGTTGGAGCTCCTTCATAAGCCTTATTTTTTTTTTTTTTTTTGAGACGGAGTTTCGCTCTTGTTACCCAGGCTGAAGTGCAATGGCACGATCTCGGCTCACTGCAACCTCCGCCTCCTGGGTTCAGGCAATTCTCCTGCCTCAGCCTCCTGAGTAGCTGGGATTACAGGTATGCGCCACCATGCCCAGCTGATTTTTTGTATTTTTAGTAGAGACGGGGTTTCACCATGTTGACCAGGATGGTCTCGATCTCTTGACCTCATGATCCACCCGCCTCGGCCTCCCAAAGTGCTGGGATTACAGGCTTGAGCCACCGCGCCCGGCCATAAGCCTTATTATTTGCATTTGCAGTTCCTTGCTTCCTTCGTGTTCTGGTTTATTGCTTGTCTCTACCTCCTAGAAAGTAAGCTCCAAGAGGGTTCCTGTGTCTCTTTCTCCTGCTATGTTCTGGCATGGAGAATAACAGCTAGTGCATGGTAAACGCTTAGCAGCTATTTGTTAAATGCACCATTGAGAAAGAGAAATAGCAGAAAGCACTTGCCCTGTGCCCAGCACCAGCTCTGGGGTTGCCTGGAGCAGCTGTGTGCTTGACACACTTAACCTGGTTCTGCTCCTCCCTCCCTGGCAGGGTCTCCTCCTCCAGCTGTGCCTTCTCTTTGGCCTTACCATTTCCCAGGATGGGTCACCCTTGGCTTTCACACCCTCCTACTCCTGATCGCCCCTTGCCGGGCACTGGGGTCTCCGGCTCTGGCTTTCCATGCTGGATCCTCTGGGTCTTACTGGCTCATGTTGTCAGTCACCAAGCTGCAGATTCTATGACAGAAGCCTCTCATGAGTGTCTTTCTTCCTTTTTTTTGGGGGGGGGGTATGCCTTTATCAGCAGAGTGTCTTTCTTCCTAATTCCAAGGGCACTACCTTGGTCCCAGCTCCTGATGACCCTCACTTGGGAAAAGATGTCCAACAGATCTCTAGTGTCTAGCCCTGTCCCCCAACCAGGTCACACCCACACTGATTTGCGAAGAGATCTTCTGATAATAGCTAGCAAACAGCACTGCACTTGCTCAAGAACTTTCTGTGGCTCCTCAGTGCTATGGAATGGCTCTCAAGGCTCCTCTGCTGAGACCTGTGGCCCTCCCAGATTGGATGCCACTTCTCAGCTGCATCTGTCTCCCATTCTTCCTTGTCTAGTTTTGTTGTTGTTACTGTTTCTGAGACAGAGTTTCATTCTGTTGCCCAGGCTAGTGTACAATGGCACTATGTTGGCTCACTGCAATCTCTGCCTCCTGGGTTCAAGCAATTCTTCTGCCTCAGCCTCCTGAGTAGCTGGGATTACAGGGGCCCACCACCACACCCAGCTAATTTTTGTATTTTTAGTAGAGACGAGTTTCACCATGTCGGCCGGGCTGGTCTTGAACTCCTGATCTCAAGTGATCCACCTGCCTCAGCCTCCCAAAGTGTCTTTTGTTCTTTCTGTGAAGCAAGACTCCTTTGCTGTCTCCTCTGCCTGAAAATCTCTCCCAACACCAATTCGTACTGAAGACTATGGGAAGCACAGCCATCTCCTCCTCCCAGCAGCATTTCCTGGCATGTCACCAGCCAGCCTGGGTGAGGTGGTGCCTCTGGGCTTCCTCTGTCACAGCATCAATTACCCTCTCCCCACATCAAATGTGGGTCCTGAATCAGCTGTGTCGTTGGAGCCTAGCACAGAAACCCACAGAGGCCTCAACAGGGTGTTTGCTGAATGAATGAATGAATGAGATCAGGTTTCCTCAACTTGGAATTCCCTTGTTACCTAGCACAGTCCCTTCAACAAAAGGCACTCATCACACAGTCACTAAAGGCTAATTGTACCTTCTCATTTGTTTTTCCATTTGTTTTGAGACAGAGTTGCACTCTGTCGCCCAGGCTGGAATGCAGTGGTGCAATCATAGGTAACTGCAGCCTCAGTCTCCCTGGCTCAAGTCATCCTCCCACCGTAGCCTCTCAAGTAGCTGAGACTACAGGCACACGTCACCACACCTGGCTGATTTTTGTTTTTGTAGACATGGGGTCCTCACTTTGTTGCCCAGGCTGGTCTCAAACACCTGAGCTCAAGAGATCCTCCCATCTCAGCCTCCCAAAGTGTTGTAATTACAGGTGTGAGCCACCACGTCCAGCCTGACTATGCCTTCTAAGTAAAAACAAGCCAGGCAAGGTGCCTTACACCTGTAATCCCAGCACTTTGGAAGGCCAAGGTCAGAGGATCGCTTAAGCCCAGAAGGTAGATGGTACAGAGAGCCATGTTCACAGCACTGCACTCCACCCTAGGTGCCAGAGTGATACTCTATCTAAAAATAAATAAATAAATAAATAAAAGAGAAAAGGAAAGGAAAAAGAAGACGCATTTCCTAGACTCTCAGTGTTCTGCTCACACTCCCCAGACCAGGCTGGGCCGGGCCCTACATCC